TTTGATAGCATCAAGAAGGTTGAACGATTTTATTAATAATTTCAAAAATACGAATTTCTCGTTTTCTTTTTAAGATAGTTTAATATTTGGCGTAATAAATGTATCCGAAAAATGTTTATTCAGATACCCGTCATTTTTTATTTAAGTAATAATTATGGTTTAGGTGGTAATTAATTTTAAAGTCAAAATATGCAAATTAGTATTTCTAATACTGCGTAGAGATCTTTTTTTCTTTTTTCAAATTTAAAATATTCTCAAAATGAAATAGTAAAAAAAGTTGAAAAGAAAATCAAAAATTTCATATTTAAAATATAAAAATATGAATGTTAATATTACAATAAATTTTAAATAATTTCTTATTATAATTGTTTTTCAAAGTAAGGAAGAAAATCAATTAAATTAATGACAGCTACTAAGTGAGTAAGTAATTTTACGATGTAAAATGAATGAGAATTTTTAATTAAGAAAATTTGCTTAATTATAGAAATTGAAAAATATTTATCATTTATATAATATTACTTGTAAATAATAATTTAAAAATGTTCTCTTTCATTTTTTTTCAAAAAAAAAAAATATTTCTTTTATTTTAAATTAATGGAAATTTTTCTTTTAGGGCATTTTCAATAATTGTGTTAATAATATACGGTGTCATTAATGAGAGATAGGTATAGTTAAACGTCATTGAAAAATAACTATACAACGCATCAAATTATATTTCATTCTAACCATTAAATTTTCCATTCTGCTAAACTTTCTTTCTTTTTTTATTGAAGAAGAAATGTTGACAGATGTTATCTTACAAATGTCCACTTAACGTAATGGATGGACATAAGCAGATGGATGATATGCAAGGCTTATGAAATATATTGCAGTCTATTATGAAACCAATAAGTTATTCTCATTCTAACTTTGTCAGCTAAACTGACTGCACTATACTTTTATGATTTATGCATACACACACACACACACACAGAGTGACAGACAGAGACAGACAGATGCACACACATATGTATAAGCATAATATACACACAAACATAAATTTTTTTGTATGATTAAAATTTAGTTTTAAAATGTAAAAAGAATGAAAGTGTTGTAGTTAGAGGCTTTTTATTTTGAAATAGGAATGAAAAATGTCAATTTCATTTGATTCAATTTTGATATACTAAAAGAGATGGCGAAGATAGGAAAGAAAGGATAATACAGGCAAAAGATGATGATACTCTTTCTTTTTTTAGAGGGAAGAGAGAAAGATGCTTAGTAATCCTGTTGTTACCAGCTTAGATATAAGCCTTAATTGGCTAGGCTATTGGCTGCTACTTTATAGTGGGAATGAAAATGTATGAGATATAGCTAAAACGATTGGCTTGAGGATAATTTTGTTGGCAAAAGCAATAAGATTTTTTTTTGCATTTTTTGGGAAAATAACGGAAGCTTTCATCATTGAGTGAAAGAAAGAATGAAAATAGGACTACTTCATTAACAATTTAATCAGAAAAAGGGTGGCAAAGAAATTGTCGCAGACAGGTGGTTTAGTTGAAATAAGTTAACAAATGTTGGACATTTTTTTCTTCATTGCTATTTCATTGAAATTCCATTTCTACTACTACTACTACTGCTATTAGTATTACTACTACTATTACTACTACTACTATCATAATTGTATTGTATTAAATTCACAATTCATTTATTTAAAATTAATCGAACATTAAAATTGAAAAATTGTTGTAACTAAAATTTATTAGATAAAATTGAATGGGCTCAAATATCTCATTTAATATTATGATAAGAAGTTAATTATCGAAGTGCTGATTAATCAATTTTATTTTTATCAAAAATATATTTAGAGATATTTTACAGTAATCATCATTGCTATCATAATTCAAAAATAAATTTTCATCATTGCAATATATCATAGTACTTATTGATTTCTTGAATTTTCTATTTCTGTATCATTTATTGAAAGTTAAGAATTAAGTAATCAAATATACAATTTCTATATTATTATATATTTATAATTAAATAATCAAATATATAATATACTAAATATGCGCAGCAGTTTTTTCTACATTTTTCGTATCGATCGATTTATTATTACATTAAAGTTATTTTTCATATCAGTTAAATTTTCTAAATATCATACATTTTTCTAGGATGGAATAAAAGCAACTTTTGATAACAAAAATAAGTGAATATTTTAAATCCGAGAAGTTAATTTTTCCCCAATCAACAATTAAATTAGCCAACCCATATAAAGCAGTTAGTATTTCAATCGTAAAAGAAATTGAAAGGGTAATAAAATTTATCAAAAAAGAGAAGAGAGAGAGGAAGAAAGAGAGAGAGAGAAGAAGAGAGGGAAAGAGAGAGAGAGAAAGGATATGCTACTTACAAATCAATTTTAAATCTTTTCCTAATGGTTGTTGTTTTATTTCTTTCCTATTTCTTTTCCTAATATTAAAAAAAAGGTAAAAAAGGGAAGACTAAAAAAAGTATTAAATAAATGCATAAATAATTCTATCCATTCAAATTGTTTTTTGCATTCATTTTCAGGAGAAATTTCTACAATTATGAACGCTCGTATGGTTTGTTGGAATTTCGCCTTTTTAATTTTTGTTATGGCAAAGAAGAAATTGAAAGAGCAAGAAATTATTCAACGAACATTAAAAGATTATGATTGGCGTGTACGACCACGTGGTGGTAATCTTTCTTGGCCAGGTATGTAATTAATTAGAATTTTAATAGATTTCAATTTTATTTTTGAGCATAGACTATCGATGCTATTAATGAGTTTTGATAGATTTGAATTATTTGAATTTTAATTTTGAGAATAAATTACTGGTGTTACTTATGATATTTGATAATTATTGGATGATAACTGTTATAATTAATAATAGAAATTTTCCATCATTAATTCTTTTCATCTTCAACATATTATTCATTTCTTTTAATCATACATTAGCTTCATCTTAATCGCTATTGTTTTTAAATTATTGAATTAAGAGTGCATATTTGAAATTTTGTAATTGGAATTTCAATTAGATAAGATTGCTGTGAAATTTAAATTTGTTCCAATAACGAATTTCAATTCTTTTTTTAGCTTAATAATATTTTCAATGTTAAAGAATGAGTGAAATTTGGTGCTAAATTATTGCTAACTTCAAATAAATGCTTCGTTGCATTTTTATTGAAATGACGAATTTCTTGTTCTTTTCTACTTTTTTCTTCAATTTCAATAAAAGCCTAAAAATCAATTTAATTCTTCTAGCATTAGTATTTTTAAAAAAATAAGTTAGATTTAATACTTTTGATAAAATATATACATTTTCAAATGTTTGACTTATCATACTTTTCAATTGTCTTTTTCTCTTTAAAATTAAATTCATAATTTTCTTGCAATTAATAAAAAAACTTTTTATAAAGCTTACATGAATATTTCCTCTAAATATGTACTGTTTACGTGAATATTTTCACTAAACGTGTATTGCTTACGTGAATATTTTCACTAGACGTGTATTGCTTACGTGAATATTTTCGCTAAACGTGTATTGTTTACGTGTAGACAAATTGAAAAAACTACCTCATAAATTTGCTTAAATTCCTAAAAGCTCTTTCCGTTCTTTCTTTTTATTCCATTCTTAACTCATAAAAAGCATTTTGTCAATTTTCACGAAAGATATTTGACAAGAAAATTTTAAAAGTAAACTGGAAAAGCTTTCTCAAAACATCTTCAAGTAGCTCTTCTCTTTTTTACATGATACTTATAAGCTAAATACTACATTGAAGAAAGAAATAATAATCACAATATTTGATAATTGCATGAAATTTTTCAAATTATAATTAACAATTTATTTTTTGACTGTTTATAATTGTTTTACTCTTCAAATGAGCTAATGCATTATTTTCATAGAGGTGTAATTTAATTTAATACTCAATAAATTAAAAATTCTCAGGTAAGAAAAGGCAATAACTTCTGTTTCACTAATTTCATCGTTGATTACTATAATATAAATCCTTATAAAGATATAAGAAATTCTTATCGAAATTGTGATAAAAAAGTGTAAACAAGATAATTTTGTGGAAAGCTTTAAAATTTATTATAAATTATGAAATATGATGATGATAATATGTCTGAGCGAACATCTGTTTATGCATTGGTTATTTATGATCGATGAGCATTTTAAAAATTGGCATTGATGATAAATTGAATGATAACAAAGTAGTCTGTAATCTTTCAAAAAAATGAAAACATCATTTCGATTAAAATATCTTCAAATCGCAAAAATTCTAATAGACTTAATTATTCCTCTGATATTTAATTCTAATTAATTATTAATTAATAAAGTATATGAGAGCTGTGAAACTTTCTATATGATATGATGACGTACGTAAACTTATTAACTATGCAACAGAAGTTAGACTTTCTATATGATATGGTGTACGTAAATTTAGTAACTATGCAATGGTTAGTAGATGTTTATATTATCTGCAAATTATGTGACAAAAAAATTATAGTTGATCCGAAATTTACGAAACGAATGAATTAGAGAACAAAAAGAAATTTTAGGCACGATCACTTATGTATGGTACTTTAATTCATCAATAGTTTCATTTTTGAATATACTTCTAGGTTGACAACTTCTTGTTCAGTTTATAATTGAGCTTCAACTTCATTCCTTCCAAGTATCTTTACATCATTATTCCATATCACCTGTTCAGGTGTTATTGTTTATTGAGTTAACTTCTAAAATAAAAATTGAAATTTTCATGCAATTAAATTGACATCAAAACCTAATCCTAACAGTTAGAAAAATTAAATATTTTTTTAAATGAAATTCTTTTACATTTCGAAGAAATATAAAAGTCTCCAGACGAAGAAACCGTCTGGAGATTTTTTTCAATACTTATCAAATTAATCCTAAAAATTTATTTTTCTTCTCGAAGTATTTTGTTTATCCGAAATGAAGCATTTAATAAATTACATATATATGTATATTGAAATCAGACCAGACATTATTTGTTTTAAAGCATAAGATAGGAATAAACATCGATTAATTTAACTGAAGGAGGATCAAAGTTAAGATATGAATAACGACAGCTCTGGTAATATTCCCAACCCGATTACAAATACTAAAAAACAAAATTCTTGAAATATATTAATGATTAATTAAAAGTGTTATTTATCAAATTCTTGCGGTGAATTTTTTTCACAACAATATGTCAAGTTATAAAATGTAAATTTTTATATAAAATGCTGAAATCAATTTGTGAGAAAATGATAGATTTGTAAACTGCGCTTAAATACGATTTTTCATACGTCGAAAAAAACTGTCAAAATTTAATAAATCTTTGATAAGAGCATAAATTAGTAAGTATTCAAATGATATCATTTGATAAGTTAAAAATTGATCTCTTCTGAAGATTTGATTTTCTTTCAGATACGGGTGGTCCAGTTTTGGTCTCTGTAAACATTTATTTACGGTCAATTTCAAAAATTGATGATGTTAATATGGAATACAGCGCACAATTCACGTTTCGTGAAGAATGGCATGATGCACGGTTAGCGTATGAACGTTTGGCAGACGAGAATACGCAAGTACCACCGTTTGTGGTATTGACAGCCAGTGAACACGCTGATTTAACGCAACAAATTTGGATGCCAGATACATTCTTCCAGAATGAAAAGTTAATTTTTAATGAATTAGCTAAAAAGTTAACAAAAATTATTCACATTTTACTTTGGATCATTAAAAGCTGCAGAACATTTGAATGTTGCAAATTGTTATAAAATATGCTATTATTTTATGGTTTCGTAATATCAATATTTTCTTCTAACTATTATTTCATTAACCAAAAAAAGTAGCTTGTTTCCTTCCTTTGGCAGCTGCATAGATAATGATTTATAGTAATTTAGTAATTTTAGGATTAAAATTATTTTCACATATTTCTGATCCACGTTATTATTCTCTTTTATTATTTCATTGCTGATTTAAAATTATCCCAAAATATTTTGCGCCAAAATGTCAATCTGCGGGGACAAATCTTTTCACTAATTTGAAATTGGAAATTATAATTAGAGGAATGGAACAATGAATTCGATCACATAAATTAGCAATGAACACTATTCAACATAATGAAAAATAATTACGCTGACAAAAAATCATGATTATCATTTAGTCATGAAAATAATGATAATTCTAATGAATTATTTGATAATAACTCAATTTCTTTATTTTATTATGATAATATGAAAATAATGATATATTGCAGAGAAGCAAGGAGGCATCTTATTGACAAACCTAATGTACTTATTAGAATACATTCAAATGGTCAAATATTATACAGTGTTAGGTAATTATCAACTTTCGTTTTGTTATCAGCTGCAAAATTCTATTTTTAAAATTTTCCATAACTACAGCAAAGTACTCTTGATGTTTGTGGAAGCATCCTAAATTTGCAAAATTGATTTCAAATCTTAAAAGCTCGTATAACTAACTACCTGTTATTCAACTTCTTTAAAACTCAGATCTCTTTTTCCTATTCAAGAATTCGAAAATTCCTTTGATTTTTATTTAACAACATCATTGCAGGCTTTCATTAGTATTGTCATGTCCGATGTCGTTAGAATATTATCCGTTGGATCGACAAACATGTCTTATTGATCTTGCAAGTTGTATGTTGAAATTTTATCTCGTTTCTTTTTATAATTTTCTATTTCAATCCGCTACAGAACAATTGTTTCATTATTTATTAATGAATTAAAGGTTTATAAATTATATTTTGCTTAGTTTAGACTTTCAATTGCAAAAAAATTAAATTAAATTTTCATCTTAAAAAATTCTAATAAAGCTAAAAACATGATATATATAATTTTAAAAAAGTTTCGCTTACATTTGCTAATAGATCAAAGATGAGAAATGATAAGATTGCAAAATAATCTTCTTCAAGTGATAATTTTATTTGGAGCATTTTTCTTTGATTATTCATTTGTACCAAAGATTTTGAAAATAAGGAAAAATGGTTTCAATATATTGTAACTGATTTGTCATTGTAAAATACCTATAAAACTTTGAAATACTTTTTCATTCCAAATGAACGATCATTTATCATCCTCTAGTGGAATACTATTGAAGTCGTCTTAGTGGTAAAGTATGAAATTTATATTTTATTTTATATTTTCTTAAAGATGCTTATACCACTGATGATATTAAATACGAATGGAAATTAACGAATCCAATACAACAGAAAGAAGGCTTAAGGCAAAGTTTACCAAGTTTTGAGCTTCAAGATGTTCTAACGGATTACTGTACGAGTAAAACAAATACAGGTATTGCATATTTTATTTTTTAATGAATTTTCAGATTTATGCAATAACAAATTATTTGCATGGCATTTTTTTGCTAGTGTTTATAGGTGTCGATATGCTAACAATTTCAGGTGAATATAGCTGCTTGAGGACAAAAATGATTTTACGACGCGAATTCAGCTATTACCTTTTACAGGTGTGTGCCGTGCTATCATGAAACATTTTTTCCTTTTATTTTTTTACCCTCTGTGATATGATTTCGTTTACAAATTTACCCTAACTAACTCGCTTCAAATTTTATGCGAACATTTTCAACAATAAAAGCTTTTTGTGTTGACAAATTCAAAATTCAAATATTATTGCGACAAAAAATTTCAATTCAGCTTTAAATTTAATTTGTAAGAAATTACATTTATTATCTAATTAACTATTGTGAAAAACATTTACTACAAAAACGGTCATCAACAATCTTCCAATCATTGTTCTGATCATTATTATCATTATCATCAGAATAATGATCAATGATCATTGGATCTAAAATGTTGTCAACGAAAAGCTTCCAAAAATATTATGATATCTTTCCAACGTTGTTTTCATTTAATTTGCAACAAATGAATGCCTTTTTCTCTTTATATTTAGTTTGTGTGCTAGTATCAGCTTTCAGCTCTATATACCTTCATTTATGCTGGTCATCGTATCATGGGTCAGTTTTTGGCTCGACAAGGATTCAGTGCCTGCTCGTGTGACCCTTGGTATGGAATGCTCTTTTAAAAAAAATAGGAAAAAAAATCCCGTTGCTTGTTTGTTTTTCCCCCGAAGATTTTTCTCAAAATAATTTAGTATATGTTTATGTGTTGTCTCTCTCTCTCTCTCAAATGTTTTCAGGTGTAACAACACTTCTAACGATGACCACACAAAGTTCGGGTATCAATGCTAAACTTCCCCCTGTTTCCTATACAAAGGTTGCCGATATATTTTCAAAATAAAAAATTATAGCTTCCAGAGATTGTTGAAAACAAAAATTGACAGATTAATTAATTTGCTTAAGTTTGCTTAATATTTGTTCTTTTTTTAATTATGCTTATTTTTATTATTTAAATTATCGAAATTGTCCGTCTATCAACAATTCGTAAAATGTAACAGTGAAGGCTTTTAATATTGTCATTTCATTGTTGTTTTTGGATCGCTTTTAAATAGCTTAGCTTTAGTGGTCCTTTAGTTTTGATGAATTTTTTTTCTTGAAGTAATTAATGTAAACAAAAAAAGCAATTTACATCTGTCCAGAAAAATTAGTTGAAAATAGCTAGCAATTTACATCTGTCCAGAAAAATTAGTTGAAAATAGCTAGCAATTTACATCTGTCCAGAAAAATTAGTTGGAAATAGTTATATCACAAGAAAGATGAATATGCAAAGAATTCATGATACAATGCTTTGGATATCATAATTTTTTTAATTTGATAAAAATTTAAATACCATATTAAATTTGGCAATAAGTAAAATCATTAATCCAAATTAAGAAATAAATTTTACCTTTTAGTTTTTAGAATTTTAAAATTATTAGATCAACGAAAAAAATCAACTTTTAATCTTCATTTAACTCATTAACGAATAGAACTTACCTAGCAGTACATTGATTCTAGCCAAGAAGTAAATTTAGGCTATAGATGTTTGGATTGGTGTTTGCTTAGCCTTCATTTTTGGTGCATTGCTTGAATTTGCCTTGGTCAATTATGCAGCAAGAAAGGATATAGCTATCAGCCATCGAACGGTTCGTTTTAGGTTCGTTTTCAGGTGGCCCAAAATCCATAATAGTGTTCCATAATTGGTGGTTTTGTTACATAACAAACCATAAACAAAATGGTATCTCTGGCAGATACCGAATTGATAGATATCAAATTAAGGAATAAGGAATTAGTTGGTATGAATGGAAGTCAAGATTCCCCGATAATCTGAAATTTTAAGAGTGTGAATGAATGGTTTTCTGTATTGCCTTCCAAATGTTATTTTACAGTTATCAAAATATACCAGTCATATGGATTACTCATCCGGTTATCAACCTTTAGTATCAGCAACGACTACGATATCACCTTTCCGTTCTTGGTGGTGTCTTCGGCTATTTTTCCGACGCTACAAAGAACGCTCCAAGCGAATTGACGTTGTTTCACGCTTGGTAATTTCTAATACACCTACCAAATTCCTATCTCTAATGTTTCCCTTCCTATGTTTTGGTAGTTAAGATAACTTTCATTCTGTGGGTTTTATTTTTTGAAGTGCCTTAATCTTCCGGATAAACATTCATTACTAGACTATTATGTTACTCATTTGTAAATATCTTAAGTGAACTACTATAGCAAATTCAGCATAAGTTTTTCCGGTAGTCCTCAAGCTCAGGCTTTTTCAATCTTTTTGATCCCCTATCTGGAATAAAGAATTGTAACACGACTAATATAATAGTTTAAGTATTCAGGATTTTCTCTTTTCCTAATGAATCATAGAGAGAGGAAGAGAGAGAAAGAGAGAATTGAGATTCACAAAAGAAGAGAAGATAGTTTTTTTAAATCCTTTAACTTCAATAGTTTTAGCTTTAGAAAAATTGTTGTGTTTTGTTTTTATTAGCTTAACATAAGTTTCAATTACCTGTTTAGGTATTTCCGATTGGTTACGCTTGCTTCAACGGTATGTATGTTTTTCTTGAAATAATGACTGGACTGCTTAATTATCATTTATAAAGCAGACTGGTTACATTTCTAATCAATCCTATCGTCGAATGAATAAAAAAAAAATTTGAAATAATTTCTTAAATGAATTAAAATTTCTATAAGAAATATTAATTGCATGATAATGAATCGCTTTAATTAATGCTAATTGATAAAGGAAAAAAAAGAGCTTATTATCATTGTTCTTATCATTTCAATGTGTTGATAATGCATGTGATATATATGTTTGAGTTAATTTGATGCTATCAATTAATTATATTATTTATAGCATAGCATGGCTTGTTCTTAATTTTTGTTTACTCTTTTTTCAGTATTATATTGGGCTGTTTATCTCATCTAACACAAAAAAAAAGCTTGGAATACAGTAATCCGTGCTTATGCAATCGAATTATATATGTATTGTGCTATTGTTGACCAATCAATTGGCGCTATTTGTTTTTCCCTTTCCGCTCAAATCACTATTTATTCGTCGAGAAAATAGCATAACGAATTCATCTATGCTTATTTATACTGTTCATTATTTTTCTAAGAAATCAAATACAGTAAAAAAATTCTACAAAACTATTCTTATTTTAAAAGGATTAAAACTGTACACACCTATAGATATGCTACGGTAGCATTACAATTGCAGGTGAATACAGTTGTGCTCGTGTTATGCTACTTCTTCGTCGTGAATACAGGTAACATTATTATTGTTTTTATAAAGTTTACATATTACTCGCCATATTTAGTTATTATTTAATTCAGCTTTATATACCATGTATTATGCTGGTCGTGGTCTCATGGGTTTCATTTTGGCTCGATAAGGTAAGCAATTTTTTCCTATATATATATATATATATATTTCGCATTATTACACATTTATTTCTTCTTATCATATTTCAAATATAATTTAATCGATTGAAAAAATGAATCAAATGATTATTACTTTATAATAGCTGTAAAAATTTAAATTATAAATTTTTTTATAAATTTTATTAATAAAAAAAAAATTAATAAAAATTAATAAAAATTTAATAGGATGCAGTACCTGCTCGTGTATCATTAGGTGTAACAACATTGCTAACAATGACAACACAAGCATCAGGTATTAATGCTAAACTTCCACCTGTATCATATATCAAAGCAGTTGATGTATGGATCGGTGTATGTTTGGCATTTATTTTTGGAGCTCTATTAGAGTATGCATTGGTCAATTATTATGGAAGACAGGAATTTTTAAAGAAAGAGAAAAGAAAGAAGAAAACTGAATTCAAGGATTGCTTATGTCCATCCGATTATCTCTTTAATCAGGTAATCCATTCATCTAATCAGATAATAAATAAATTAAAAATATATTAAGTAAAATTGGTGAATGAAAAGATAAAGTATAAATCTTATTTTAGGATATAAGAGAATCATTACGTTTAAATATGAAAGCGTATAAAAGAAAATGGCGGACAAAACTTTGGTTTAGTAGATATTTCCGTAATAATATTGAAGTTAGCAAACGTATTGATCTCATTTCACGATTCGCATTTCCAATCTGTTTTACTTGTTTCCTTGGTGAGCCATTTATGATCTATTTGTTAAAATAATTTAATTTGTGTCGTATAGTTTGATTAGTCGAGAAGAAAGATCTCTAATTAGTTAATTAATTCATACGATATAATTTGAGAGGTGAAAAAGAAAAATCTTAAATCAATCAATGCTATATAGTTTTGTTAATCAGAAAATTACTAATTAATTAGTTGACACCGTATAGTTCAGTAAAAAAAAAGGTTTATTCCTACTTTGTTTTTCTTTAATTTCAGTGCTTTATTATATGAATTATGTGAAATGAGCGATGAAGAAATTATCTTCTGATTACAAATATGTTGAAAATTGAAGTATAAATGAAGCAGGTCAACTGGAACATGCGCAAAATGAAGCCTAAATTAATATGAATATTAGAGCATTTCAAATTCATACAAAAATTTCTGTTACAGTCCGAAAAATTGCTTTGTTTGTAGCAAATAAATAAAGCGGGTCTTCTTACTGTTATTACATTTCAACAAAAATGATAGATACATAAACAATGGTGATAGCATTGATAACAGTAGTAAAAGAATGAATAGATGTATGTTCTTATTTTTGAATAAAGTTCTCAAAAATAAGATATCCATTACAAAGCCTGAAATATCTATTAGATTTAAAGGTATGAAGTGAGAAGTACTAAGTTTGTACTTCTTCTATTTCTCGTTTTTTCCTGAAACCTTTCCACTTTTTTTACCTGTTGGAAAAATATTTCTCTATTTTTTGAGGTCACAGGTTAGAAATCAACTAACAGTGTTTCAAAATTCAAAATTTTTGAGATCACAGGTTAGAAATCAACTAACAGTGAAAAACTAACAGTTTTCAAAATTCAAAATTTATTATGTCAAATATCTCCTTAACATAAAACTCTAATGTCCATAATATTCAATTGATTTTATAATAAATTTATTATTTAGAAAAAATACATTTGGCAAATTGAATTTAAATTTTATAGCTTTGAAGAAGATTGACAATATGTCAGAAGTTTGTGCATGTCAATCATTGTGACGGAAGTCAACAAATGTTTATATTTAAACTTTTCTGAAATTGTAATCATTCCTCACTGCTTTTAATTGCCAATTTATTTAGTTACGCATATGTAATATCACAGCTATATTAATTAACTAATTAATAAGTAATTCAGGACATTTCGGTGTAAATATGAATTATGAATTAATGGACCAATAAATATTTATTAATATATAAGCTTGAATTACTGTAATAATAAAGCTAATAGGATAAGATTAGCTAGGAAATTATTATTTCTTTCAGGGATTATAATGAGGTATATCTCACGTATTTATTCCTATCATTTTTCTTCATAACCAAATATTATCTCAAAACTAGAAAAATATTTTATCAATTTGCCAATATCATTGATAAACAAGGCAGATTAAAATTGAAGCATCTTCCATATCTAGGCCTGATTAATTGTTTCCCGAGAATATTTTGTTCCCCACGAATTGTTTCCCCCAAGGATTTTATAAATCCCTGTTTTGTTATACTTAAGCATCTTTCTATATAGGCATTGCAAAAGTAGTTATTGTTTTGGAGTATAATCATTGTCTGATCAATCATCAGGAAAAGTTTCCTAGAAAGCATTTTAGATACTTTTCAATTGGTGGAATGAATTATCGATTTTTTTTCCCCATTTATGAAGTCCTGTCTCATTTTCTACGTATACTATTGAAATCAATATTAATACCTTTAAGTATCGTGTGATTTAGTGGCATTTGCAAAATAGTTCCTGCAACAATATTGTTTATAGCTTAATATTGATAATGAATTCATTTTGATGAGCTTATAAACATCGATAAGAATGTTTTTTGGTATGTGTGTAATCAATCGATACATTTATTCAATCAATAAATAATGTGGTAAAGAAATGATCGATATTTCTAATCACTGATCTGTAAAATTTAATACAATTTAACAAATATTTCAACTCGCTATGATTTTGTATTTTTAATATTTTATGTTTCAGTGAAATTGACAAAAATTTATTACTATTATTATCAGTGCAATTTGATCACTGATATTTTCCTCAGATATCGATAACTCATTACCGACATTAATTGGATAGTAAAGTTCTGTTAACCAAACTTTTATTCTTATTACATAAGATTATTGAAACAATGATTAACTAACTTTTATCCCTTGATAGTGGTAGAGTATGTTAAGCTTATTGTTACAAAACTGAATGTGGAGTGATAATATTCCTAATGCTAATTTTACTTTGTTGACAATCTTTTCTATCTCAACTTAAACTGTGATATGATATAATACGTACGGAAAAATATCTTTAAGTAGTAGTAGTGACAAATTTTTAAGCTGAATCCCGTTCTTCTAACGTAATTAATAATTCTCTATTCAAATGTACATAATTTAGACTTCTAAAATTTATCTTTTAATTATCCTAATTAAAAATTTTATCAAAATGTTCTATTACTACTACTACTACCACCACCACTACTACCTATGATGTTTCTAACTTGAAGAAAGTTGTATGAAGAGAGACGGTCATATTATGAACAATTAAATGAGAGGCCCCGTGGGATAAGGCTTTTCTTGGAAGAATATTTAAGGCCTCTTTAAGCCCTCAATTTCTGCTATATTTTCAAAGATTATGTCCTATACATAGAAAGAAGGAAGGGAAAGAAGGGTAAAGCAGATGAAAATGAAAATTGTACCATATGATAAAGCCATAAAGATGAATCCTTCATCTCCTCCCTAAAAGATTTTAAATATATAGTTGGAATGAATGCAGATGCCATACTGCAGAATGCTGCAATTTGGATTAAAATGAGAGAGAGGGAGAGGGAGAGAGAGAGGGAGAGAGGGAGAAGGAGAGGGAAAGGGAAAGAGAGAGAGGGAGAGATCAAGTTTTAATCAAAGAAAAAAACGAAGAAATTTCTTCATTGTCCATCATTATTATCCGTCCATTCATTCATTCATTTTTCCTATATAATGCATGTAATATAATGTTGTCGTAATGCAAGTAGTAATTTTTACAACATGCTAATTTATTATAGGCATGCATGCATACATATCTATTCCATCCATCACTCTTTATATATTTTCCAGAAAAAGTAAAAATTTTAAATGAAGCAAAAACAAACTACAACAATCATTGAAGAGCTGGACGGATATTCCTATATATATATGAGAGGATTAGAGTTAGTGGAAATTTGCTATCTATATACATATAGCAAATTATATATATTTATATATATATAATCATACATAAAAAAGTGCTTTTTCTCTTCTTTTCCTCTTTTCTTCTTTCACTTCACTGATAAAAACAGTTTCATCTCATTGCTTCATCGATGACTTCTTCCTCTTCTCTTCACTCCACCTCCTCCTCCTTCTTCTTCTCTCCCTCTTCTTTTATTCACAATTTAAAAATATTCCATAAACATTTTAACAAATGTTCCATGCTGCCACTTTTTTTAGTAGTATAAAAGCATCACTATTAATATATGATAAGATTAATGATAATAGCAACATGCTATTATCTCCTTCTGATTATTGTTAATATTTAACTACTACTACTACTACTACTACTACTACTACTACTGCAACTGCTACATTGTTTAACTACTACTTAATGATATCCGTTGCAAAATAAAGAAGAGGAAGGATAGAAACAAAAACGATAAAGCATTTAAAACAAAGATTTATAATGTTGCTTTTAATGAATAAGGAAGCTTCTAAAAACTTCATCTACACTGATACTGCAACTACTCATATTACTACTGCAGCTGCTCACTTATACTACAACACTGTTGCATCTTATTGATATGTAATTGAAGTGAGAATGAGAAGTGATGATGCTATTGTTGTTGTTGCCACATATGATGATAGATCCTTGAAAAGTTTTCCTTTTTTTTCTTGTTTCTCTTTTTTTTGTTGTTTTTATTTTCTCAATGAATAATTCGTTAATAGCCTTAATTAGTATTCGCTAAAATAATTCATCCCTTGATGTTGTTAATAGTCATCAGTTAATAATTATAACAAATTATCATCATATTTATCGCCATCATCATTATCATTAACGTCATTATCATCACCATCACTTTCATCATCATCATCATCATCATCATCATCATTACTGCCAATTGTCATCGTCATTCTTCTCTTACAACCATTATTATTGCTATTTCAATCAAAACTGCTTGCATTCATTATTCGTTATTCTTCAAACAATTCTATTAAACTACTTCCTTTTGTAGATTTAAACAAAAAATTTGGACGAGAAATTTATGTTGTTTCTATTATTACTATTGCTATCAACTTTTTCTTCTACCGTAGTGCTATTTTTGGTGAATGGTATTCCGACTATTACTCCATTATCATCGTCATCATCATCAACCACTCAATCACCATCACCATTATCTCTCAACTTCTCAAGTGATTTGAAAGGCTCACATTCTGCGACATTTTCAGCTTTGTTAACACAATTGGAACGTATCGAGAATCAAAGCTGTGGAAGCCTACTTGCATTACCAAATTTGCATCGTTTATTGGAATATGAATTAAGGCATAGCAATCCACAATTATTATTTTTGGCGCAATTAATCGCTCAGAATCCTCGTTCACATTTACTTCATCTTCCTGCAAATGCCTCTCTAATTTTGGATTCACCATTGGCTTATAACATTTCGGCACCATTATTCGTTTTACAACTAGATTGCAGCCAAGTTGGTGATGATCTGTTACAACAATGGATTCCGTTACTTATTTATCCAACTTCTACTTTTGAATTCTATCTAACTATACGTCTACGATCATTTGATCTAAATGCTTGTACATTACCACAATGCAGCAATACAAAGGTTATTTCAATTTAATCATTATTTTTCCAATATCATTGAAATATTTCCATTTCTGATTTTTCGATCAAAGTAAAATAATAGATTTAGTATTCATGGAGGAAAACTTTCCTCAATACTATTAGGTGATGTGAGTTGTGCAAAATTTTGTTAAGCTTAGTGAAATCGATTAAAGCAATATCATATTTCATTTGTTTCAGTTTAACTTTTATAAGTTGAATAAATTGATGAAAGAAGATATGACGTAAAGATATCAATAATTGTTGTAAATGTAAAAAAAAAGAAATTTTAATGATACTAATTTATCTCTTGAAATTATTTTTGTTTTGTATGTCATCAGTTACTTATAACCAGTCGATATCTTTTCATTAAGAAATAGCAAGGAAGCAATTTTCAATTTGTTCAACCTAATTTCAACTTCTTCCATTCTTAATTAAAATTTCGATTTAAACTGTTTTAACTCATTAACAAATTCATATGCTTATGATAATACGAATTATGAATTTGATCCATTTTTATTTTGCTGAATTTACCGCTTTTTTAATCATCTTTGAGAATTAATGCCATTATTATTTTTGAATATTTCAAAAAAGTTACACGATCAGATAATGTCTGGAATATCGCGGGAAATTATTCAAAAGGAAATAGATCTAAGGATGAACATATTTTTTTATTAACTTGATGACATTTTGTCTCAGACTTCGATCTTCTGACATCCATTGCTGTATCGGGAAGTCTGAAATGCCACAATACACTTCAATTATGCAAAATAAAAAAATGTATTTTCTCCTATTTAAGTCAGTTATTTGGTTTTTTTTGACATTTGAAACTTTAATTTTCTAGAAATATTAAACATTTCATTTTCTTTTTCCATTCAAAAGTCCCGAATAATTCTTGACAGCTGTTTAGCATCAATCGAATATTATAGCTGAGAAATTTCATGCAAAGTTAAGAAATAATAAACACTTCATCGAGAAAATAGCAAATGGATGCTAAAATAAACCAGCTGCTTAATTGACATATGCAAATCAGCGAAGGTAATGATGATCATGTTATCATCATTGAAATGATTGTTGTACTACCTTATGATCTTTATTCTATCTATCAAATAAATTTTGTTTACTTGAAATATAAAATTCATTTATTTAACAAATCGAAAATGACATTCTTCATTTTTCTTCACTTATTTACTTTTCCTTTTCCTTTTGATTTCCATTTCTTTTTTATATCTTTCTTAATTAAAAAACAATAACAAAAAACAAAACAAAATAAAACAATAAATATTTCATTTCATAAAATAATTATAAAGCGGAAATATTATTTATTGAATTCAAAAAAATAATTAATTATTTTGTTTTGTTTTTATTTTATTTTATCTAAGAAGTTGAAAATGATGAAAATTTAAAAATAAACAATTTATTTATTTAATACTAAAATAAATCAACTGCTTAATTGACATATGCAAATCAACCAAAGATGATAATAATCATGCAATCATCATCAATTTTTTTCTTTCGTTAATTTCTAATAAAATTAATAAATTAGAAAATATATCATTTCGATATATATTTTCAATTTAAAATTAAATTGAAAAAGATTTCAAATCTTTTTTGTTTGATATCTTTTAGATTGTTTTCTTTTCAATCATTTATAAATGATAATTATAATATTGATTTTCTTTTTGATCGATTTGAAAAATTCTTTTTTGTGATTACTACAAATTCAATGATAATTGAATTTATTATAGTAAAAACAACATGTTAATTTGAGGGATGAAAGTGAAATTGTTTATTAGTTGCAAAAATCGAAGATAATTTCATTTGCTGTTTATTTATGTCTGTTACCTTATTTACTGCAATCATGCTAAGTTTTCAATTGTTTAGTTTTATCATGAAAAAAAAAATTTTTAATAATAAAATTTCCAAAATGATCGGAACTTTTTTTCTTCATCATTTAACAACTATCACTGATTGATTATCATTGATTATCATTAATGGGTCTAATTTGAGGCGCTTTCTCAGATTTATACGCTGTATAATTTAGATTGAATTGTTACAAATATGAAATACTCATTTAAAAATACTCTCATAAAAATATGCACAAACATTATACAAGCTTAACATGTAATTAGGACTATCCGGTTCAATTATTCAATAGTAAGCTAATACATTTCTGACTTCTAATAATGCTAGGACTCTTGACATTTGATCTTTTTTTTGACTTGATTTTCGTTACCTGGTTAATATATAGTTGTAGAGAGAAAAAGAATTCCTGAACCGTATCCGAGAAAATAAACATATCTATAATATTTCTTTTCAAATCGATAATTAAACTACCGGAAGATGAAGTATGCACAAGTATATGTATATAAGCGCGCGCATACGTAACGCGCACACGTATTACGATTATGCACATGAACACATAATATGCAATTAGAATAATTAGGACCATCCGGTTCAATTATTTAACGAGCTAATATATTTTTAACGTCTAGTGATAATAAGATGCTTTGAATACAAATGAATTTGCTGTGTCAAGAGTGAGTGATTCCTATACAGAAAACTATTGAATTATTCAGCCAGCATCATCCGGCAATAGATCGTTCCTGAAAGAGATTCATAATATCTAACCAACAAATTATTCCACATATTTTTATCTTATTATTGGAGACTGGGTGCAAGAAATTTCCAACGACTGATAATTCTCTTGTTTTGCAGCGGATTATCTTGATATGATCCGTATATTTAGAGGTTGTTGATTTAAAAAATTTTCAAGAATTGATAACTCTATAGTTTTGCAATAAATTATCTGAATATATTTATCACCATATCTGATTAAGAGGAAATGATATGAAGGTGGAAAAAGATAATGATTGAATATTTTCAATTATTATCGTTGCCTTCATTTTAATCACTTCTGATAATCACTTCTGATAACACTTCTGATAATTAATCACTTCTAATATTTCTCATACACTAACTTTTATTTGAAATTAAAAAATGAAATTATAAAATGTAAATATTTTCTTAAATGTTAACATTCATAAAATCATAATTAAATCATTTCATTTCATTATTGTTCAAATTAAACTTTAGCAAATAATCGTTCTTTCTTATAATACTCTTCGTCATATTAGATATTCAATCATATGCTAATGTATATGTAAGGAAGAAGCGATAGAAATATTTTATTTCTCAAAAATAATCAAATCAATCTAAAAAAAGTTATAAATCATTGGACGGAATCTTCTTATATTATATATTGATCTTTCGGTTAGGATTATTTGATTAATGATTAAAAGAAATGAGGGATAAGATTTGCAAATTTAAGAAAAAAGATATTGGAGATAATTATCTTTATCGTTGTAGTGTACATGGACAAGACATGGTGGTATACGAGTTTATGCTCGCACATGTTGTACTAATGATACATCATTATGCCGTGATGTAACGGAGAAGGATCGTGGTATTTTAGTGATTTTCAATGGATTATGTTCAACAATTTGTATTTTACTGATACCGGTTGTTGTTCGAGAACGTCGTAGACATCATGAAGTACGTGGATGGGCGTTAATGGAAATTTTCCTTCTTGGCGCTTCTATATTATATGCTATCGTAAGTTTGATAAAATTTTTTATTGAAAAATATAATTTAAGAAAAATTTATTTTTTGAGTTTTTTTATTTGGAGTGAAAACAGAGAAATAAATTACGATGAAAATGAATTTATTCGTAAGCCAATGAAATTTATTATAGTTATTTCTGGATTGGTTTAATTGCGCCACGTGTTGCTTTGCAGTATGGCTACGACAAATTGGTTTTTCGACATTTTATGGATCGATCGTTTTGAAAATTTACAGGTATTAGTGATATGAGGATTGAAAAGAAAAATTATAGAATGGATAAAATTTCAGATAAATTTCATGAAATTTCATAAATCCTTTCCAAACGTCGAACTGTAATTGTTTTTCTGTTGAATAAAAATGAGAATTTTTAGTATCAGAAAATATTCTACAATTTTGTTTTTGTTATGTTTTATAATTTAAAAGCATAATTAAGGACTTTCTTACATTTCCTTTTGTTTTAAGTTCAGATAATTAAATTTAAAGATAAAATCTATGAAATTCAAATCGATTAAAATAGAAGCTAAAAAGAGATTTTTCGCTTTTTGACAAAATCAATTTTTTTCACTATTTGAAATTAAATTAATTAAAGGAATTTACAAGAATATCATGTACGTAAGGCTCATCATGTTATTGTAAAAGAAGAAGACTTGATGAAATATTTGGCATGCTTGCTAGCATTAACATTAACTGGCCTTATTGCTTGGACACTTGGCTCATTTGTTGATGAAGAGCTTTGGACAAGTGCTTGGCCACAATGTCCTATACAAGCATGGTGCTTAGCTTGGCAAGGTATGAATTGAAGATAAAGTAAACAGAGAGATAAACAGAGAGTTAAATGTATTAGAAAAGAAAAGAATTTTACATTGAATAAAGATCTAATATCTAATATCAATAATGTATTTACTTTAATTGTGAAATTTAATAGGAATTGAATTTCATTTTTTACTTCCATTCATTTTTTTATTTTATAGGATAATATTTCAATTCTTTTCCATAGCGAATAAATTGTTGAAAGAAAGTAAATACCATTTGTTCATAAGTGGCACATAAAAATATACTTAGCAATGATTTTATTTCATTTCTTTCTTTTTGTTTTAAGTTAATTTAAAATTTTGTTAAGTTTTTTTTAAGGCTATGAATCATTGTTTTTAATTTATGGAATGCGATTGTGTTACAAAGCACGAAATAGTGATTGGTTGGAACGACGGCAATTTACAGTTGCTGTATGTTTGGAAGCGATTGTTACACTACTAACGAATTTTTTAGGGTTAAGTATAATTAATTATACATTTATTTATTGCATATCAATTAATTAGAATTTTTTGTTCAAAAGTTAATTATAGTGGTATGATATCACCACATATTTTCATCATAATCTCTAAGTGATTAATCATTTTAATTGAACCATTTATAATTCCGATCCATTTAAAATTCATATTAAAAAAATATTTGAAATATCATCGCTTCCATTCATTTTAAAATTGAAATATTAAGAATGAATTCATAAATTTCGATTAAAATATTAAAAAATTTCTAGTGTTCCATTTGATATCATTTTAATATTTTATTTTCTTATCACTTATTACACAAAAATTTATCATCCAAAATTTGATTATCTGATAAATCAGATATTTTAATAAATTACGGATTTAAATTTAAACTTCTCTTTTCTTCTGGAATCCGCGAACAAATTATTTATTTCCAGATATTCCATTCGTTATTCGGCAAATAGCGATACACTGATGACAATCACATTTATACAATTACATTTAACTATTTCTATTAATATTATTATTATTGTTGCTCCTAAATTTTACCTGGTTAGTCTTAGTATCTTACACTTCCCTCAATTAATACATAAAAGTCATCATTTTTTTGCTAATATAATTAAAGATAAGTTTGTTTGATTTTACACTTCCACAAATTAGCTCTTCTCGAAAAAAGCCTAGTAATATAATTTTCAAACAATTAATACTCTTTCTATTTCATAAATGCTATTAATATACTTTGACTAATCTTTTGAAATTATTTCATTTCTTTTACACAATCTTAAAAATAATTATTTGTTAAGTTATTCTCACTTCCTTGCCAAATATCTTTTTTGATAAATTTCTAATTTATGGATATTAGTGATAAAGCAGAAATCAATTCATAAACTTTTTTTCTGCTAAAGTTATTTAAAGGTATAATTAATTACTTAATAGCAATTGTAAGGAAGGAAAGAAGGAAGGAAGGAAGTAAGGGAGGTAAGAAGGAGGGAAGTAAGGAAGGAAGTAAGAAAGTAAGGAAGGAAGGAAGGAAAGAAGAAGGAAGTAAGGAAGGAAAGAAGGAAGGAAGTAAGAAAATAAGGAAGGAAGGAAGTAAGGAAGTGAGGAAGTAAGGGAGGAAGTAAGAAGTCAGGAAGGAAAGAAGGAAGGAAGTACAAAAGTAAGGAAGGAAGGAAGGAAAGAAGGAAAGAAAGAAGGAAGGAAAGAAGGAAAGAACGAAGGAAGGAGAGATGGAAAGAAGGAGAGGAGGAAAGAAGATGAAATTGATAATTAAATAAAATAATGTTTTTATAGAATTTTCCCTTCTGTATTTTCATCTTTTATTGAATGATAAAAATTGGAATTCCAATTTATTTTTTGTTAAACTTTTGGAAATTCATTTTCTCTCTTCTCATTTTACACAAATAAATTTTGCTTTCATTTTTTTTAAAACAATAACAAATGAGAAAACAAAAGTTTAAAAATGGAAAGATGCCAATAACCAAAAAAGATGGAATAACTTCGGAAGAAACAAATTGAATGAAATGATAACTCTCTTCAAATGTTCAATACCGTCAATCATAGAAAAATGAACATATTGAAAAATTTGTCATATCTTATCATATCATAATTTATCATATAGCTGTGTGATAAGCCTTAGTTCATATTTCAATTCATCTGTCTATTTCATAGATTAAAAAAAAATTTTTTTGAAATGAAATTTATCGCAATGAATAATTAATGAAAATTAATTGTCATTGTGAGTTAATTAAAAATGCATGAATTTTCGAATTGAAAAAAAATTATTGAATATTTTAAAACTTATTGATTTAGAATGTAAATATTTGCTAAAATAATTTTTAACAAATCGCTTCATATGCTTTAAGGAAATTGAAATTTTGAAATCGCCCAATTGAAAACTATGAAAGGAAATTTTTAGAGATTTCATTTAACTTATCGAAATTTCAGACTAGCTCCGGTAGCACAAAGCGTGCAAAAACATTAATAGGTGGTGGCAGTAAAGCACATCCATCATTGGCTAAACTTCATGACAATTTATTGAATGGAACAATTGATTTTGCTGAAGTGCCCATAGCTGACATGAATCCGGAAGATATCAGAGTGAGAAAAAAATTTTCTTCTCAATATTTCTGGCAAAAACCCATTTTCATACGGAAATGCGGAAAATCTATCATTTTTTCTTTTTTCTGATAAGCTCTTATCATTTTTGAATTTCGAATGAAATTTAAAGATAAATTCGAGATATTTTTTTTCGTTATTAAAATATATACAACATCAATTAGCAAATTTTTTCGAAGGGATTTTTGATGGAAAATTTTGCAAGTGCAAGTTGTTATTCTCCTGAGACTTCTGATATAATTTGAGGAGCGGAGCGATTCCATTTTAGTATAATAGCTGGTAATTGTGAAGGAAAAGAAAAAGGAAATAGACAGCTCTGAAAGTTTTTTGCTTTAGGGATGCCTTTTTGGTTTTGCTTTTTGTAGCATTTGAGATCGATATTTTGCTGGCAAAATAATATTAGGATCAAATTTTTGAAAAAACAAAGAGAGAATTCTGATTATTTGGATCTTTCCGAATAATTGTTTATTTAGGCTGAACTGAAACGAGTCTATACGCAATTGAGAATGTACAAATTGAAAAATTTGTATCACGATAATCCGCATATCGCTAGACGAAAAGGTGGTAAAAAATCAAATAGTGATAAATTGATTATTAAAAATCGACGTATTTCATCACTACCTACAACAAGTTCTCCTAGAGTAAGTTTCCCTCCATTTGATTTCTCTTTCAATTAATTAAGATGAACGATACTTGCAATTAAATTTCTTAACTGATCCAGAAACCCTATAAATATTGATCTTCTTGTAAAAATTGCTATTATCATGACATGCATGATTTCTCATTTTATATTGTTCACTTTGTTAGTTATAAACTAAAATCAGATCGATTCTTCAAATTTTGAATGTCTGAACTTCATCAATTTTTATTTAAACAATAATCGATTGCTAGTGGAAAAATTAGAACAATGCAATAGTTTCACATTTCATATATTTGTGCTTTCATTATAGGTGAAAAGAATCGATGAGGACGAAAGACACGATTTAACAGTAGAATCAGCACCACATAATGTCTTCCTCTCAACGTATAAGCTACAGTTAGAACCGCATCAGTCCGTACGTGTATAGGAATATTATGATCATCAGGAATGACTATAATTTAAGGCCAACAATGGCACAGTCTGAAATGTCTTATACATTCCTCTTCACTTATTATCTTAACTTCTTTAGTTCTTAGTTTGAATCTGTCATTTAACTTCTGATTTTTTTTCTCAATAAAACTATGTGTAGTTGACTCCTACTAAAGGGAGTGTCATTTAATTTTGTATGGATGCATTGCTGGATGCTAGGAGTGGACACTTTCCTGTGAAGTTATGAGCTCAGGACATCTTACTTGTCCAAGCACCGCGCGGCAACGAATCAGTCAAAATTCCAAGGGAATACACTCAAACATCCAAGAGAATACAATCAATCAACCATCAGTCACCGGCTTGCATGCATGCAAACAGTCAACGCGTCTATTGAGCTTAGTTGCTCGCATTAAAAGACCTGCATAAACCACAATCCAAAAGGCAATCTCTTTGAAAACTGTTCCAAGTCACGTTTATGAATTATAGAATTCAAAATTAATAGCAATCGTCATGGATTTCCCAACAAGAGTACTAAAAAATTCCTTCAAGAGTTAAAAACTTCTCAAGAGCATAAGTATCAAAAAGCAAGAAATAGGGAATTCTACAAAAACTTGCCAAAACTGGTCTGGAAACAACTGCCACCAAACTCGAATTTCGGCCAAGTCTTTAATTAAGATACAAAAAGCAACAAGATCATTTTACTTCAATAAAAATTTAGATGAAGCATTGTTTTGGAAACACACAAAAACTGAGAAAAGGTTAAAATGCTCAGAACGTAAAATTTATTCAAACTTCAACATCACCAGCCAAATAGCATAATATTAAGAACTCTGTATAACACTACAACAAGAACAAACAATCTCAGGCTTATTACGACAGAACTTCACTCACTGTCGATTTGGAGCACCTGGTCGCGGAAAACGATCTCCTACCATACCGCCACGTTGCCCAAAACGTGGCGGTGGGTTACGGTCCTTGCGTGCTTCACGCGAACGATTGCGCACTACTTTACTGTGAATTGCGCAGGACACACAGTAATGCAGCTTATGGTATAATTTTGGCAATGCATATGCTGAAATATAATCAAAGTAAAAAATGTATTAGCAGCAATCATAATAACCTGACTACTCTTCCCTCAAATTTCGGTGGCAATTAAAAAGTTCTCCAACGATGTGCATACAGAATCTTCCACATGCTGAATTCTGAACCGAGATATTTCAACATCTATAAAATTCCGAATGACAAGTTCTATCCAAAACAGATGCGGACAAATTAGCATTTACCTGCTAATACAGTAATGTACTCCCATCATTTTAGTGTACACACAAATCGGTAAGGAGGAAAATACTTGAAAAAAAAGAGGAAATTTACAATCATAGGCAGATGCATCAGAAATATCTCGGACAGCAGCTGCTTCCACAATATTGCGAACAACGAATTTCTTGATAGCCTTATCCTTAGGTGCGCAGCGACCACAATTTGTGCAGCGAATGGGTCTTACATGCCCACGACCTTTTTTGTTACGTCCGTGATTCCGTCTCTTCGTCGTCATCGTTTCCTTAATACAAATTAAATCAGTTAATTTTGGAGACAAACTGAGTTTTTGTAACGACATCAATTAGCTGATCATCGTTGTCTGCTCCGACCAAGTCGTAACAGATGAATACGTTCTATCATAATTCCACTAAGCACGTGAAAAACTAGAAAATCATATATGGAAAACTAACGACGCTTCTGGAAACGCAGTAAAATATAGATAAACACAAATCTCCATGAATGTCATAGTGTCTTTATGTAAATGGAATCCGAATTTAGCGCAAAAGTTAACGTGGATACAGTACACTTGGTCATGTTCATTACACATTTTACAATGTGATACTTTATTTTCATTTCTCTGCTTAATAGCATTCACTGCGAATTATCCTAACTACTCAAGAAGTCAAAAACGCAAACATCAAGTCCACGATCCTAGTGATAATCTTTACTCTAACTTATTACGAACTAATATTTAATTCAGTCAATTCGATTTCGACCTTCCAAACGTAACCTAACCCCTCAGTACAATCATTGACCATACTTCCCGATTCCTCTACCCACTGAGAAACCATAAACGTAGGCCTACATTTCATGGCCGCGGAATGCAACAGCTTGCCTCTCGCCTTGTCGATGTCCCCACTTATTGACGTTCAGGTTTTGTGGATATGTTCAACGAGAATTATGAGCTGGAAATTAGTAGTCAATATCACACTTTATTTAAAATTATTGATTATCAACCTATGAAATCGCCACTTTTTAAATTATCATTTGGGAAGGTTTTATCAATATTTTTGATTAAATCGAATATATCAATATTATTAATTATAATAATTGGTCATTATGACAGTAACAGTCGAAATAAGCGGAATAAAGAGAATATTATATGTAATACATGTGTGTAAGTTGGAAAGGTAAAGGTCTCAATCTGCAGTCGCCACATATCTAGTGGCTATGCACGCAACGTAACTCTACAAGAATAAGTTTATCAGCAATGTTCTTTCAATCTAAAATTCATGCATAAATTAAAGCACGCAATTAGCATAGCAGGCACGGAAAAAATCCCAAAAGCAATCCAGAAATGATACAATGGGTGACTGTCAACAATAAATTTCAACAGGAAAATTGTTGCTAGAAGATGTAAACACATCGAGAAAACGGTTTCCTTAAAGCTATGAAGTTGAAATATTAGTAATATAACTTCAATAGCACAACATGCTATCCCCAGACTGATAGCAATCGTTAGTGATGTTTCCACATCCGCGTATTCACGTTCAGTCCAGTCTATCAATGGTAATGTTGCCATCACATATTCTGAAAATTGAGTGAACGTAGGACCCTATAGGGAAGATGGATTTAGCTTTAAAATAACCGGCTTAAAATTAACACTGATTTCACTCTCTTCACTTTTTCCTAGAAAAACAGGAATAGTAATAACATTGAAGATACAGAAATATCGAATTACAGCTTAAAATTTTCGTGACGCTTCCTCGAAATTTCATCTTTCAGATAAATTCAACCAAGAACTGGAGTCACTAACCATTTATGTCTGATAATGCCATTACTAACATCGTACCATGAGCTACAAGAGTCACAAAATATGCAGATGATGCACTCCACGCCATGAGAAACTGGAAAACTTCGACAAAATAGCAAAATTGCAGCAGTATTCACTATGGAAACAAGAAATAATTCTTGATGTAATCCTAACCCCAAGATTCTGAATGGCGATCGATTTCCCAGAGCTGTCATACCGCCCCTCCTAATCTTAACACCCTACCCAACAGCAGCGAAAATATAGCTCACCCGTAACTATGCATAACATCGAAAGCTTCACTTCAAGAATTTCCTCTAATAACCTCTAATTCCTCTAATAACTAGCTAATGGTCAAATATTAATAGCTTAACCAGGAAATGAATTAAACGTCTTATATTTGACGTCCAGTCCTACTAGTAAGCCATCATTCCTTATCTAGTTATTTGGTGTCTGAAATCATACAACCTTGAAAAACCAGAACTCGAAATACAACTGCATGCAACATTATTGTTATTTAAGCATTTATCTGATTTATAAGACAAAACATGTTATAATGAAGGACATGCAGTAGTGAAACCGTAAGTACTTCAAGTCATACTTTACTGCCAGCCATAATACATAAACACAAAATGGGTCACAGGAAGGAAATGTTCCGATTAAAATGCATTCTAACAAACACTTTTCCTACTTTCGAGCACTTCACAACAAATCTTGTTTAAAGATCCTTGTAGCCTGAAGTTCCAGAATTTACTTTGCCCCGACACAATTAAAAAAGAAACAAGTTTTAAATTCTCAATTTCCAACTCCATCCGTGCGAATCAGTAACATAATTCAGATGTAGCTGGCAGTCACTGAGTTTGACACCGTACACCTTGGGGTCCATGTGTTTCATGTTCGTATGATGACGACGGACGAGGTCCACGATCATGAATTAATTCTAATTCTACAACTTCTGCATCATCCGATACTAACGGTTGAGTACCATCTGGTAGTAAGTTCTTCAACTGTTCGACTTGCGCAATTTTTTTCGGAAATCGCACAGCAAACTGAATGAGTAGATCACCTTTCTCAAAAGGGTTCTTATAATGTGGCATACCTTCGCCAACTATCGTACGCATATCGCCATGTTTTATCACTTCACCTGAAAAAAAAAGCATGCTTCATATTTCTGAAACGACGTATTAGCCATGTACTATTACTAATAAAGATTTCTGGAGGAAAAATGAAACTCAATCTGGGCACTTCCGAAGAATACTATCGAAATTTGCATCAGGTTAAAAGAAATTATCCTTTAAATTACAACAGAAAAAATAAAACTCTGCTCCTCCATATCATGAGTGTAATTTAATGCAAGTGCTCGTTATTCGAAACATCATAAAATCTGAAAGAATCCAGGATGCCAAAACATAAAAAGAGACCTGGAAATGTTCCAAAGATCAAATGACGTGAATCTAGTGTTGCTATTGATCTTGTACAACCGCAAAGTGCCTCTACCAGTTCGAGATCAACTTGTATCACAAGATTGTGTCCTTTCCGCACAAATGTATCATGTGGTTGTTCATCCAATATAATTACTACGTCACCAGAAGTTACTCCAACCTGAATTGCGTACTACTTACAGCTACAAAATCAAGGAGTGATGATCTGATAACGGAAAATAAAGACTTACCAATAAGAAATTTAATATCAAAATGACAAAATTAGTGAATGCAAACCATTGTTTGTGTGCATGGGAAAAAACAATACCTTGTTTTAGACAAATACCACAATGAATAAATATCATCCTAAACTCAGTTCTTGAAGACTTTGTTAAGCTTAAACTCAAGAAATCTTAACAACCGGAGTAATTTTGGGACAACGTGCAAATTCATGAGCATACTTCCTGATCGCCTTGTCCCGAGAACACAATTTTCTGTCCATCCTTCATTCCTTTATCAACATGAACTTCCAAAACGGATTCATTTCGAATCTAGAAATAAAAGAGAAAGATAACTTCTAGAGAAAATAATAGATTAATTAATTGTTAAAAAATTGTGGACTGCATAGAATGATGAAGAACCGCATAGTTATTAATTGTGGACTGCATAATTGGACTTATTAATTGTGGACTGCATAGAATGATGAAGAACCGCATAGTTTCAAGTGTTATATTCAAATTACTATACACTTATTAATCAATTCCGAAGGCATATGAAAGTTTTTTGTAGTCTAGAATAAGACAGCAGACAGCAAAAATATCCACAGCCCATCTAATTTGTACTGTTAGTCTTCAATTGAAATATTATATTACCTGTCAGGCAGAGCGATGCACTAGATTTTCGGGGCTCTTCACAAATTGGTTAAAGATGAATCAAAAACAATTATAACTGATTAAGACTGAAACTTGATAACAATAAACTAATTTTGGTCTTTTATTGACCTTTTCATTATCTACCCTATAAATTAGAGCGATATATGAAAATGACCTTCTTCTTTCCGTCGCACTGCTTGCATCGATCTTTTGAAGGTATTACTTCACCTTCACCCCGACAAACATTACATGTTGACTGCATTTGTTGTACCATACCAGGTCCAATTTGCGTGATTTCAATTCGTACGCCTCGTCCTTTACAAGCCTCACAAGGGATTACGGAACCCTGAAATTAAAAGTAAATTTGTTAAATTTAACCAAAAGATTTTCACAACCTTTATGAAAAACGTCAAAAAAGAACAATGTGTAGTCAACCATTAATATTTTTTTGCAGAATTTGACGAAGTTTTTATTCTTATGACAGCAATTAGTATTATCATACCTTTGTTCCACCAACACCGCCACATTTCGGACAGACAATATTACGTGAAAGTTTCAATTTCTTCACAGCTCCATTATATAGTTGTTCTAGAGTCACCGGCAATTGATGTATCATATCACGTACTTTACGTTCACCTTTTTCACCTCCTCGGAAATGTCCTAAAATGCAAAATTTAATCAACTGAAAGTATTCAGAAACTATTATGTACAATATACAGTGTATCAAATCAATGGTACTAAGGATACACACAAGTGTCCAACTTTTTCTTCACTGTAAGCTTACTAAACCTTAATTGCACTGTATAAAGATAAAGAATAATTCGTTTTCATAATGTCCGGCAAGCCTTTTGTTCCGATTTTTTGGTATTCCTTAAATTTGGCGTCAATGTGTCGCTTCATCAAGTAATAAGAGATGATTATCTTATCCTTAATCAGAGCAATGAGTTGAAAAAAAACAGCACCTCCGAAAAACATATCGAAAATATCCATTGGATTATGGAAGTTTCCACCGCCACCTGCTCCACTCAGACTTTCTTCACCACCTTCATCATATACTTGTCTTTTTTTCGGATCCGATAAAACCTTGAATTTCACGAATCAATTAGAAATGTTTATTACGAAATGCAAAATCTACTACAATAAAGAAACTATTTTTATTTTCGTGTAGGACTAATTATGGAAAAAAAATGGCAAAACCTCATATGCCTGTGAAATCGCCTTAAATCGCTCGCCCTCGTTGGGATTCTTATCCGGGTGATACTTGAGTGCCAATTTCCGGTATGCCTTTTTCAGTTCATTCTCAGTTGCAGAAGGCGAAACGCCCAAAATATCGTAGTATTTTGTTTCTTTTACCATTGTTTTAGTTTAAAATACTGGAAAGAATTTAGCTAAAAGAGACAATCTTAACTGCACGATGACTAAGCACGACACTAAGATTGCTATCTTACAACACAAATGTTAAACTATTTGCTTCAGTTTACTATTAAATAAACAGTGTTAATGACTGCTAGTGCAGCAAAAATTATAAATGAAAATATCAGACTGATTTTCATGTATAGTCATAAGACGCGAATGAAAAACTACATAGAGTATATGCACATACATATAAGGTCCCCAGCAAAAAAGACTGAAAAAATGGTTCAACTTCGATAAAAAAAAACCTTACATGTTGAGTTCGAATCTCATAAGATCAAATGGGGAATAGCTGTAAGCTAGAGACAAAGTAAACTTCTTCCTGAACTCACTTAAGCGCCAATTGCGGCAGAAATTAAACGTTACTCATCCAGTAAAGCTCCACTTACACCCTTCCCCGTACCACTCACTACTATCCGAACATTCTAGAGAAATATTTGAAATGTGTAGGACGCGATATGTAACAATTCAATCCCAAATGAAATAGAGAAATGGGAAATAGAAATTAGGAATGACGAACTGAAACTGAGTTGTTTGAAATGGTTAATTTGACAGTTGAACTTGAAAGAAGTTCGCAGTATTATTAATTCGCTAATTCATTATTACAATTTGCTGTAGAGAAAAAGCGTTATTAAATATTTTCATTAAATTGAAACAAAAAGAAATGCGAATAGTTAGCATTATTACCGGAATTTCAATTTTTCAAACTATGATAGCATATTACCAACAAGTTTGTATATTGAAGAGATAGTAGTAAGTTCAACTAACAAAGTAACAAGCAAAGAACAACTTCAGAGATTACCTTCGAGAGATTCGGGTGAATTTCTTGATGCACTAAATTTGTGTTGTTAAATACCAACGAAGTAAATGGCTTCACAAGAGAGTTTTGAGATTTCTCTTTCATTACTTCTTATTTTTGACTTTTTTAAAGCGGCAACATTGGAAATGTTGGAAATTTGAACAAGCCTCGTGCCTCGTGAGAAATCCCAGCGTATACCGGCTACATTTTATCGACCGGTCAGTCGTACTGCTAGCATGATATTTAATATCAAGGAATATCTATCGGATCAACCACAATTTATTGATTGTGCTTGTTGTAAGGTGAAAACAGATTTTTTGTGTGATCAGTAGATTTTATTATTTTCAAATTGACAAATAAAGCAACATTTTGACATTTGTTTTTTACAGAACACTGAAGCTTTACATTGCTAAATTATCATTGCTGACAGCAAAAGATAACGGGTTGATAACAGATATGATAATGTGGTGATAGCCATTTGTAAAAGATATTCGATAAGGGATAAAATCGCATGGAAACTTACAATTAACAAGAAATCAGTCAAGCAGTTTCGTTTCCCGGAGTATTTACAATTATCTGATTTCTGCAGGAAGAGTTGCAGGATTTGGTTCTAATCATAAACTCAATTTTTTTAACCAATTGATCATTTGCGTATTTGTCGCGTTACTTTTTAAACTGTACAAAATTGTATCTTATTTTTTAGTTTATAGCATGGTGGAACTCATTACTCCCAACACTTATCATAGACAGTTAATGATATTTAGAGCTGCCAAAATGTTATCAAGATGAGTCACTTACCATCATTATAGGTTTGTAACATAGCATTGACTAGAATACTCAAGATATTTTCGTTGATTCAACTTCCAGCTTTCGATATTTCTTGAAATAATCACGTGAGGAACAATTCATTTTCCATGCTTGTTACAACAACCCGCTAGCTTTCATATTGTGCAAATTTCAGTAATGCAAACCATGAAATGATGATAACAAGTAGAAATGATGACAACTTTACAAGATGACAAAGTGTTACTTGATGGACAAAATAAAAACTTGGAAAAGCTTATGAAGACATAAAAATAGTGCCTCAGCTAATCTAAATACAATTGTTAATTGTGTTTGAAGCTGTAAATTCATGCTTTTAAGACATTTTTAAACAGCAGCTACTCTGAATTGTTTCATTCTACTATTTATCTCTTTCCAATAATCATTTTGATCAATTTCAGACTTTCGGACTTTCGCCAGAAACCTTTAAAAATATTGATTGAAAATGTTCTGAAATCCTTTTTCCTTACCATCTTCCGCCTTTCAACTTGGATACTTAAATCAACAAAGCATTAGTAGTAACAAGCTTAGCTTCAAATCCCTAAATATAAAAGTACAATACCGGATTCAAGTAAGTCAGCAAGCATACATCGATCAAAATAGTTCATATATAAAAAAGAGATTAAAATAATAAAAAAAAGCCGAAAATTGGCACTTAAGATATAGGGTAAGAGTATTTAAGAGTCTGATGAAAAATTACTGAAATATATATGAAGTTATGATTCTTCCTGAATATGTATACATATGCGCTCAGGGCATCCATCAAAATATGCAGCACTATCTTTTAGATTTCTTTCAAAAACTATAATTACGATGAAAATACTTCTGACCTTTACTTACGTGTTTCATTTTATAATAAAAGAAGAATAAGAATTTGAATTGTAATATGATTTTGTCATAAAAATTTGATGGAAGGTAATCATAAATTAACAAAAAAACTATAGATAAACATATGACAAATAGCATACTATTAAAATATATATAGTTAGGAGTATCGATTACAATGTTTTTTATACTCTAATAAAGCGTCCAAGAGTTCGTTTGCAGGATGGACATGAGTGGACGACATCCCGACAATTATCTATGTAAAATGGGACACAGCAAAGGCACCATGGGAGAAGTAGAAAGAAACCGAGTAGAAAGCATATTCCCATAATAATCCACGGTAACACACCGATTATCCTTTGTATTGATGTTACAACATGCGCCTGTTTTAAAATGATTAATTTTTTAACGAAAGTTGCAAACAATCTAATAATACTTTAATTATTTGCTTCTTAATTTCTAAGCACTCAAAACGCTTAAATATAACAATTAATGTAGAAGAAAATTAATTAACAACTAAATTTTATTGTGTTTAATAAGCAAAATTAGTAGCAATTGCAATACTTTATAAAATTCTGGAATAACATATAATAATATAATATCATGTTTTAATTTTTTATCGAAATTAAAATTTAAAAGAAAATACTGCACAAACCTGACAATATGGACAATCGGTTTCAATAGGATATGGTCCAAAAACAGGTGTAGTTGAGGAAATTAAGTTAACACGGAATGGTGTAACTGCAATAATATTTTCATTCGTGTTTGCTATGTTTGTTCCTGCTAATGGTGATAATGGTGCGGGAAACGAAGAAACGGTAGTGGTATCAGTGATGATAGAATCTTCATTATCATTTTTAAGAATTTCTTCATATTTTGGTGGTGGATAATCGCCAGTAATCATCACGATATGAACATTAGTGGGAAGCAAACTTACGCGATCACTAAAAACAACTGATCTAAAATGTGTCACTTGAGACGAAGCTGAAAATAAAGGTTAACGCAAGATCAATTAAATCAATTAATTACTAGCTAAAGTGCAGAGACAACTTAGAAATGATTAAGCATACATAAAATTGCAATAGATTAATAACCAATTCAGTAGAGAATATGACAAGTTTAAATCACTACAATGTAGTATTAACTGCTGTTTTTATTCTAATAATTAATGAGACATACTACGAAAGAAACAAATATGGAAATTAAATTTTAAAACTCTATCCTATACTTTCTCTAACTTTATAACAGAAATTCATTCTCTTTCACCATAACATTAATTTCTATGCATCCAATCATTCAACAAATCAATAATTTCCAGAAAAAAATTTCGAAAGAAAAAGCAAGAAAAAACAATGTAATACAATTAAAACGATTTAAATTAACCGCACAATAAAATTATTGACAGATAGGAAATATTTGATAGACTAAATTAAATGGTCAATCTAATCTATCGGAAAAGCCGAAACACATTTGACCTAAAAATATAGAAATCTTTAATATGATTTGTAATTATTGAAAAAATGGTTATAATTGTACAATCTTTACTCCATAATCTGTCATTTCATCCTTCGAAATCATCAGCCATTCTATTCAATTCATTTGATCAGCTGTTATATTTAGCAACTTGGCGTTTCCAACCTTTGATCTTGCCCAATATTTTATTCCACACTATAGGCAGTTAAATTCAATCGTTTTGCCTCAATCTGTCAACTTCTACTCGATTCACTAGCTATGATGATGTAAACTATGATATTTAATTCATCTTACAACACTAAACTAAGACAATTAAATCATCCTGTCCACAACCCATATATATATATATAACATCAGTCTCATAATCGGAAGGTCAAGTTCGCATTCATCACTTCTCCACAACTACTCCCTCAATATTTCTGATTTGTTGAATAACATCGATCAAATATGACCTTTCCCTCAACAAAGAAAATTTCATCCCAACCATATTCGTTCTGCAAATTACTCAAATCAGAAACTTTCACGACACAATCACCAATTAACGCTTTCATTAAAGCTTTAGAATATATCCATTCATTACACCAACGGACTTCAACAACAACATTTTACGAAAAACAGAACAAAGAAAAAGTAACCTTTCTTTCAAACGGAGTATCAGTGGAAAGTCCAGAATGAATACTATCACTGATTTAAAAGAAACGCTTATTTATATATCACAAAGGCGGGGACATTATCCCATTCGCCACATACAATAGCGAATTTTAAGAGTGTAAAAATATTCTCATTCCAACTAGACTTCGGACGATAACGGATGATATGATGTAGTAATAGAGGAAGAGAGAGATAAAAATAGGAAAGATAGGCATAATAAAGACAATCCAGATGTTCTTCACTTCATAAATAAAATTCCCTCGAAATCCGGCATTTAATTCATATAAATTAATTAGTTCACCTATTTTAAGGAAATCAATTTTTAATGATAATAGTTATCTCCCAAACTTGACCAGACAGAGAATACAGCTAAACACCTAGCACAAATGGACCGGTTGCAGCAGTTTCAATAAATTACTATATTGAAAAAATTTGACATCGAGTTGGCAGCATTACTGTAATACGGGGACAAGTGCTGTAATGTAACAGTAAGAATAGAAATCATTCATGTATTTCAATATAGTAAGGATAAAAATGATTCAAAATCGATGAATTTAAGTTATACCAATATCTAAATTCCACTACTAATGTAATGTAAGCTACGCAGAGTACTTTGCAAAACAGAAATGGCCAAATAATTACAAAGTAAAAGTTTAAAAATCTTTATTTATATTCAACCTTGGAAAATACTCGTATATCTTGCAATTAATTTTCAAAAATTTCAGAAACAATAATAAAAATAGATGAAAAGAAAAAAGTCAAAAAAGCGTAATAAGTAAATGGTAATGTGAAAGCAAAATCATTTTTCCAAAGGATGGTAATCGAGCAATTTGACAATTAAATCAACGTGCGACAGAAGCATTCGTCGGCAACAGTAGCGGCGTAAATTTAGTGCATCGAGAGCATCACCTGAAATTAGAAAAAAATTCATCCACTGAATTTTTCTAAGCGCTGAGAGCAATATATCTTCATTCATTTATATTCCTGCTAAAAATGTAGTTGAGATCCTAGATAATTTTAATCCTCAATTTCGAATTCGAAAACAAATTTTATTTTAGGATCAGCTATGAATCTATCACTGAGTTAAATCATCTTTCCACTAAATTTAGAAAGAAATCTAAAACCGATGAATTACTAGCCTTCCGAATATTCTGCTTGCAACAATCCCAAATAAGCATCCCATTTGTTACCAATAACTTTACCACACGTGAAGCAACGTATTGGTATGATCATTTTGCACTGTTTTATAGAACAATTCTATAAAACAAGTTTAATTTTACATATAAAAAAACACAACATGAAGACAAATCTATTCTCAGAATACATTCAAATCATGAAATATTTGAAACTTAAATATTCAGACGTTCCGTAGTCATTCGGAATTTCGCATTTAGTGGAAAAGAGTCTACCGAAACAGTAATCAACAGAACTTTGAACTTTTAGAATAATTCCCACATATCTTATCGGAGTTAACTTCCAACAATCATATAAACCTACAAATAATTTAGGCAAAGATTGCCAACAGGTCCATTACTATCGTTCGTTTATTATCCGTTGAAAAGAGAACTAATTCTAGTTCATGCTTCAAACAATTCATGTTGTACGACAACATTGTTGTTATTTGTAAATAACTTTTTTATATTATACAACAATTTTATATTATACAACAGTGTTGTCGTAAAACATGAATTGCTTGAAGCCAGGAATAGCTAGTAATTAAAGTTGACTTCTAATGCCCAAACGTTTTAGGGACTAGTTATACACGACGAACAGGCACACAACATAACAAAAAAGTAGTCTTAAATACGATGATGTAATTTAGCAAGACAAAACACTATCTCAGTCTTTGAATAAACTAAGAGCGACGCAAGCCACAAGAAATCTTCCAGCTAACCTAATGTGCTAAAAATGCTGACAACTGTAATTAAAATTCTTCCAAACATGATCATATATCAAGAAAGCAAAAATGGAAATAATTAGGCGTAAACTATGAAAATTATGAAAAGGCTTCAGAATTTTAAGTTTTATTCATAAAACAAAACGGCGTGCTAGATACGGAATTATCAGCGACAAAATACACACAGGACAAAATTCATCATGGTCGAGACTGTACTAATTCTCTAATGTTCTTTTCCGATTCGGCTAAATTCTTCTCCAAATATTTCCTTTGATGATCGATTGCAGCTATTTTTTCGTCCGCCTTCACAATCTGTGAATGAAATCTTTAAAACAATCGAACATGCCCAAATGAAGTTTATATTAATACTTGAATAGGATACTTAAAAATTTGAAAAACAAAGTTCGACTATTCCGAATTGATTCCTCCATTAAAAACCCTAACGGCTGCTGCGAATACAAGAAAGGATAAATTTTCATACATCACTGCGAGCTATTATAACAAACGTTCGACACTATAACAACCCAAAAAAAAAGTTGATTGGTCAATTAATATTATACACTTCTATAAGAATTCTATGTCAATTTACAAGGTATGAAACAATTCATTAATGATTATTTCCAAATTCACTAATAAAAGCGTAGTGAAAGAATTCTTTCCAATCAAATGGAGTAAAACTGAATTATTTTGAACTTTCAACTAGTTTGCCTCTTGTTCATGTCGCGCGATCTCTGAATCCACAGTTCCTTTGGCAAATATTCGGCCAATAGTCATATATACAGGAGTGTCTTTGTCTAATTCCAAAAGCTGTGTTTTGGTTAATTCAGCTATTCGTCGCTTCTAGAAGTAACGATAAAATATGCTTATTTGTATCGTCTATTTTGCAAGGTTGTTCCGATATCGAAGAATATAATATAAGCTAGCAAATGATGCCAACTAGTTTTCCAAACCATTTCATATTAATCAATACAAATCAAGTTTTGCACTATATTAAATCTTGACTTTGATTTAAAAAATCTTGTGTGCAAAGAAATGGCAAAATACCTGCTCCTGTTGCTTCTTTAATGAATCACCGAGTTGTAGACGACGATTTGTGTCAACCATTTTGGTCTGTAACTCTCTAAAAGCCTAAAATTGAAATTAAGAAATCATTACATTATTTAGATATAGCACAGATGTGACAATTGCATTGCTCGTCCTATCGCTCTAGAATAAACAATCTTTCTTTCCCCGTCTTTTCGGTACACATATCACACTTAAATATGAAATGAGGCTAAACAACAAACTAAATCAATATTTATTGAATATCATTCATGTATGAACGAGCATACCTTCTTCAACTGCACCGAGTAATCGTCTGCCATAATTGAAGTCAATTCTCCACCAAAACTTGAAAAGCGATAAATTAAGGACATAATCAATGAAACCAAAACAGCATTTTTGCTTTTAATTTATATGCTCTCAGCTGTAGTCACGAAATTCAGAAAGATATTTACAGCCAACTTAGTGTTTAATCTATCCAGGTAAAATATTATTTTCCAAAATCTTATAGTAAAAAACAATCTTATTCCTGCCAGATGAAGTAACATTCGAATGTCGAACTCACTTGTTTCCCAAAATCTCACAAAAAATTGCAATTTATTCAGAGTAAAATCTCATGCCTGTTACACTTCATAATCTGAGACCTTATAAACAATTAATAATTAATAAAAACAATTAGTAATAATTAATAATCTATAAACCAAGGAATAAATTCCAACAAACCAAACTATAACCAACAAAATCCCCAGAGACATAATATTATTACAAGTGATGTATCAGGAAGTGACAATTTGATGATGTAATCACAGATTTCAAAAAAAAATGAACAAGGCTAAAAAAATAATTTATTTAAGGGTTAAGAAGTATGAGAAGAAAAAAGTGACCCGTTAAATGAATTACAAGCAAATTTTCAAAAAAGTTAACCTTAAGACTTCAACACTTTAACATGAATAGTTTGCATCAAAGCTAATAAAACCAACGTAAACAATCTTTGACTGAATAATATCTTGATATTTGCACGATGTGAGAAGAAAAATATCGTTAGTAATATGGGATGAGGTAATAGCCAGTGGTAACAATGTTTTGCGCAATAATGTGGAGCATGAGAATAACCCATTCAGACAGTTTTTGACGAATAAAGAATAAAGCCATTATTCTTATAATAAGGTTATAAGAATGAGTGTTATATTATTCCGGATAAGATATATAAATTATATAAGATTAAAAAAAATCAAAATTCATAGTAGAACATGTAAACAAATCAGGCATACTTTGCAATAAAAGCAGATAAATCATTAAAAAGAATTGGGTCGATCTTCTTGATATTTTTAGCTACCAACTGGTATGCCAATATCCTGCTGATAAAATCAATCGTTTCACAGTTCTTATCACAAATTAAATCCTGGAACCAGAAATATGCAAACCATGCACGAGTTATTCTATGCTAGAAATACAATAAATATAGTAGAAAACAGAATCTAAGACTTTTTAGTCTCGAAATCTCTTTTTTGAGTCCTTATAACCTAAAAGAGTAGCGAACCAACGAACGGTTCCTCAATAATGTAAATATCGAGTTGAAGTCACAAACGAGGGACTTCTCAAGAAATGCAAAGGACATTCAGCTCGAATTCAAAAACATAAAGATGAAAAGTAAGCTAACGTTCTTCTTCACTGCATCCATAAGAGCCACCGGTCCACTGCTTTCAGCAGTATCATTGCTGCTGTTCGTAGCAGAAATATCGAGCACATCAAGTTTCTCTGCCATTATTGCAGTTTGTACATCTTGTAATCCAACATCAACGATACGGGCATAACATGCAGGAACAGGATGTTTAGGAAAATACAAGAGTTGAGGAGCAACATATACCTTTAAAAAGCAGTTCATAAATAAAATCAATCATCCCCTAGAAAAAGGTCATTTCCGATCTGTACACTAACACTTAATTAGTTCTGTATAGAAAAATAATTTTTTAATTACTAAGTATCCTGGAAGTAGACAATATCATTTTTTTTTAAAAACCATTACGAACACTGGAACTGTTCCGATATTTAATACAAGGTAATGCATGTTTTCCAAAAACGACAACAACAACAATTTTCTGTCCGATTAAGTCACTCATTGATTAAATTATTGATGATTCGAACTGCTGGCGATTTTTCAGGCTTGCTAAGAAATTCTGCAAAAATGTTCAACTATGCTTCAACATTGCCTAATCGTTATCACCCTTGTACTAAAGTGTTAATTTAAATTTTTTTTTTAATCTTACAGCGCCATCGACACTAGGTATGAAATAGCTTACCTGAATAGCAGAAGCTTTTTTTAAGTCTTGTTCACGAACGGTGTGAGCAAAATCAAATGAATGAATATATGCAAAGCCTTTATCTTCCTCGTACCTATCAAACAACTGTACAATACAAACGTTTTTTTCCTTGAAAGCATGAAATCGACCCTGAAAATAGATAAAAGTGAATGCAACATCAATACATCAACATCAAAACATTAATCTTCCTTTTCACCATACAGCCTGAAATTCGGAGGTATGCACACTAATATTTATCAAATTATCAAGTGTTACAACATTATTCTGATTGTTCTAGCTGCATTTGGCAGTCTCCACGGATGTTTAGAAATAAATTTCACCTAAGATGTGTCATAACTACTTAAATTTATTGAAAATCATAACATAAAGCACTTCTGAATTATCACATTTAATTACCACATTTTCATTTGTATCCAAACCATGATTAAATCATACTGCATATGCCATTTCGTATTGAATCTGATGCTTTTATAAAAATCATTACTTTTATTCCCTTTTTTCATCACTGTGGAACTGCATATCTCCTAGTTGTCTCAAGACTCTATTATTATCTGAAAGTTTATATAGCAGGAAAATTCATATCAAAAGTTGCACAAGTGTAAAGTTTGGTGAATTCCGCTATTAGCTGTCTCAAACTCTAATATTATTTTTTCTTACTATATTAATTAATGGGAAAATTATCGAAAGTTTCAATCCAACTTACCAAACATCGCCTGATGCGCTGGTTAAGTTTTGGATCGTCGTAATCTTCACGTCCGGCAGTTCGCGCTTCCCAGAATGAATTAAAGTTAGCTTCGGTTGGTGTAACTGATATAACACCACAATGTATCCAAGTAAGTGGACTTGCTTTAAATTTTTTGCAAACTGAAAAAAAAACAATCTAATCTATGCAAGAAAGCAATATGAACTTCGTGCTTCCACAAAAAAAATTTTCGAAAAATATTAACTGCTGTCAAATTACCCCGAGTTAGAATGTAGTCCACTTACCAGAATGGAGGCTCAAAATCAACGATAATAGAGTTTGTCGCCCAACAAAGAGCGGAAGTATTGTGCTAGATTTCTTGCAATTCGCATTTCTCGTCATTAACTAATAATCAATAAGATCACATTCTAAGAAATTATAGCAAATCCGGAAAGTATAAACTATAAATGTGTAAAATCTATAGCACATAGATAACCAACGAGTTTCACTCAAATATACACGACCCAAATGTGAGCTTAGTCCAACGCTGCTTCCGAACGTGATATTCCCTACGAAAACTGGTGTTTGGATACGTAAATTCACTGCACCCGTTTTGGAAATTGAAGTGCCTGTGGGCAATAGTTCGTCGACGACTTTCGGTTTTCCGGCATCAACAAAATTACAGCAGGTACGTCCAAATGTCTAAAAAGATACACGTAAACAGATATCGTGTAAGTGCCTACATATGTCTGTTATCACCCTTGCGAGAATCGTTAACGTTCAGCAGTATACTCATTCAGCTCACAATATATAAGCCAGCTATGCAATATCTTTGATCAATGTCATATTTCACTTACCAAAATAGGACCTGTATTTGGTTCAATTTCAACTGAAAGCCAATTACTTAATTGCACTAAATCTTCGTCGAAATTGCGTGAAATAAGCACACGTTCATAACCGCTTGCATGAATAATACCATACTTCATTTCCAGATCTACACGAACAACAACGCCTACAGCTACCGGTTTTGATGTTCGTTCGTCCATCTTTCGGCAAAAGAAATCAAATTAATTTCCCTCAAAAGTTTTGATCATCCCTATATTTCATCACGATGAAACAATGAAGAATATTGAAGCATACTTAGAACAGTTATGCTGAACTTCCCTCAAGGACAAAAAACTGGAACAATAAAGAAAATCCTTTACTTCGCTCGAGACATCCCATCTTTTCTATCATCCCCATTGCCTCGTTGAAAAAAACAACGAATAGGCCTACAATCTACACACTGTCAATCGAAATATCTGCAGCTTAAAACTTTCAGGAATAATACAACTTATTCTATGCCTCAAACTCATATTACTAGCACGCCTTTACCACTTCTGTATTTAGAATATAGCATTTAGAATGTAGCCCCTGCATACATGCAAATACACGACATATATTACATGAAATGTACGTTTATACGACAAAATAACTATAGTATTTATTTCATTTCTTTTGACGTTAACAGTAGAAACATGTATCAATTGAGTGCAAAGGTAACATGAAAATAACAATCATCGAACAGGGCACGAAACCTTCCAAACAATGTATTGAAATCTCAAAAATATCGGCAAAATTTATTGAGCCTTATTCGGTCAAATGCGAAAAAGGATAAACAGAAAATTAAATGCTTTAGAAGATAATTTTTACTGCTGCAAAAATTATTTAAAGTTCTTTTGCTGCTTCTCTGCATAATTTACAATAATTGCATAATTGCTTCTCTGCATACACCAAACAAATAAACACTTTCTAAGAATGGAAGTGTGAATATGAACATCCTGAATTAACCTGAAGCTCGTTCCAGATCAAAGATGCGCTTCAGGACCTCCTTTCCCCACTCTCATTACCAATTACTTCTTTGCTTGCCTTCGCTTACGCTTCAGCCGACGCATACGCTTTTTACGCCACTGAAAGTAAAGAAATTTTAAAAAGTCAAACCTTCAGGAAAAGTTGAATTTTCTCATAAGATGAATCATTTCACAAAACCACTAATGCCTTTAAATAATCAAACTTTACATCTCTTTAAAATATATTTTATATTTATATTCATATATGAAAACTAAAAAATGTTAATGTTGGAAAAGATCAGAACTGCCTATTAAAGCACAAGTTAATACACGCATGCGTTTTCGCAGACTTGCATTAACTTTCAACATATCAGAAAAAGTGTGTGAAATAAGCTGGCACCAGTCAGAAGCCTTAACGCTTACCAAGCCATAAAAAACTCCCAACTCACACCTACAACGTGTCATATCTTATGCAACTGTACGGCCAAATCATTAAGATCTTCTGAATGAAAATAAAAAAAAGCAAACCTTATCTCTCATCTTTAGGTAACGTAATCGACTATTTCTCTCCGAGCAACCAGTACCGAAGTAAAGAGTGCGCAAAGTTTCTAGTCAACTGGACCTGGAATGATGTTGAAATAATGTAGGTTGTCATGTGGAACGACAGTGCTAAAATGATCTGTGCTACTTTCACTTCCCAGTAGACAATAATAAAACATAACGATAACAAGTAATCTCTGAAAACCTCCTACTGTCATCCACAGAACCACCAAACACATCGAGAAAAGTCATCAATACTAGTGGGACGAACAACAGCCTACATTACTAGCTCACTCCATTCGACCTTCTACCGATTTTCTTGCTAGGATCTCGATCGGTCTGTTACAGCTCGATATTTATTTCATCATTTCCGAAAGAACCAGAAAAGATGAGTAGAGATGGTTAATTTATAAGCTAAGCATATTTAACAGTCTCGCCATAGTGGGTTGGGGCGATAGTCAGCAGATTCTGGTGGAAAATCACCGATTGTTTCTGTCATTTATTCGGTGCCGATTGTAAATTGGAATTGCATGATATAAGATTCTCGATGGTATGTTTGCGATCTCCTGGAAGTATTTAAGTTGCTAATTAATGATATAAAAAATGTGAGATAATCCACGAAATAAATATTATTACCAGCAACAATTCTGTGAAGAAATTAGTCAGAATTTCTTTGCTATTCAATTTTACAAGTTGTTATTCGAAAGATGTGCAAAATATGGGAATAGTTTTGTTCTATGTATATTTTTATCCTAATGCCACATTGGTTGATGCTGGCAATAATATCGCGATAATCATCATTTTTCAATTTGTTTTTGTGCTACATAATACTAGAAGTTTCGATAAGTTTCTAAGATTACGAAATCAATTCAATAATAAGAATTCAATAATACAAATTTTTTATAATCTCTCATGAGAATATAAAAAATTTGATATGTGGCTATCTCATTATGAAAAATAATACATCGGAAATCGGTTTTTTACTCACTCACATTATCGTTATTTCATTAGAGTTACTTTTCTTCTACAATCAATTATGTTTCTAGCAAATACAACATCATATCTGTCGTATATATATATCGAATAAGTCTTTCGTATTCGATATAAAATTTTCAGTTGAATATCCTATCCTTAGCGATGTATCACAGTGTATCATCATGAAAGAACTATGAAATATGATGCATTAAAACGTAAAATGGAGCTGAACTGTTAGATAATATAGCCGACGGAACAGTGTCGAATATTTGTATTGTTCAAATAAATTAATGGTAAAATCTTAAAATAGTATTCATAATCGCAGGAAGCGGTAAGGCTCGTAGATCTTCAATTCCGTTCATTGTTAAAGCCGTTAAGTTATCGCAGGATATTATACAATTCTTTTTTTCTCTTTTGCTTGCACTCATATGTGAATTGTGCGAAGTATTTTCCGCAAAACAGATATGAAGGTGGTAAATATAAAACGAAATTATGAATTAAAATAGAACGTGCCATTAAGTATTATGTGTATTTAATAATTATCTCTCCTCATTATAGAATGAATGAATTTTAAATAATTCAAAAATTTTAAAAATTAATTAAAAAATTTTAGAAATTAAAAAAATTCTTAATTTCAAAAAATTGAAATAATCTGAAGAATCTGAAGAAACATGTATATCGTTGTGTTTCTATTAGTTACGAAATTAGCAAATAATTATCAATGAATAAAGAATAATTTCTTCAGTTATCACATCTTTTCTTATGTTTCAATTACCATTTTCATCTTTCACTAAAATGAATATTCATTCGATTATAATTTAAAATATGTAATACTATTTTATTCACATTTCAATTTTTATCATTAAGCTAATTGATATCTGAAAAGAAAAATCATAACGTTATGTGAGCAGTAAATTATTGGAGTTGCAAAATCATATGTAAATGATATAAAATGCAAGATGTCACGATATTATGAATTAAATTTAAAATTTATTTAGGTAAACTTAAATTTAAAAATTCAATTCCATCGTAATGGGACTATCAATTATTTATTAGTAATGCATAAATATTGCATATTGCAGTAATGCATACAGTAATTCATATTAATAAATGTTTGCATCAAATTTCATTTTTTACACTTTTCCTACCACTGAGCACATTTGAAATAAATCAAAGTTGCATGCATGCAATGATTATGTAATAAATGAAGTCAATAAAAAAAAGCATGCGATAAAGTAGAACACTCCTGAAAGTTATTTAAAAATTGAAATTAAAATAAAAAGGTGCACGAAGAAAGCGTACGTCAAGTTCACATAAATTGTGTTGAAAGTAATCGAAAATGCATGCAACATGGAAAATGATATATTTTATAGGTTAAATTAGGGATTAAAAAGTATTCATACCAGTAATACAGTAAGAAAAATTAACAAAAATGAATGCAATGAATAGAAGCAAATCCAAATTTCATACATTAAAACAAATTAATAAAATATTACAAGTAATCAGTAACATTATCTAATAAACAGGATTAACAAAAAAAGCATGCAGTATGCAGTAAGTTAAGTAAGCAACAAAGCATGCAATAAATAAAAAGCATGCAGTATGCAGTAAGTTAAGTAAACAACAAAGCATGCAATAAATAAAATTAACAAAAAAGCATGCAGTATGCAGTAAGTTAAGTAAACAACAAAGCATGCAATAAATAAAATTAACAAAAAAGCATGCAGTATGCAGTAAGTTAAGTAAACAACAAAGCATGCAATAAATAAAATTAATAAAAAAGTGCAACATGAGTGAAGCAAAATGAATGCATTTATAGAATAGAAAATATCGGGAAAAATCATGCAATAAATACAAATTACCAAAATCATTCAATAAATAAAAGTAAGATATGCATCAATACAAGTGGCAGCAAGAAGAAAAAGATTGTACATTAATTGAAATTAACATAAAAAGCATGCAGTAAGTAGTGCAGGCCGAAATGCATGCTGAAATAATGTTAACAAAAGACAAAATATTATCCAATAAATAAGGTTAGTAAAAAAAGAACGAAATTAGTGAAATTACTGGTATGTATCGGCAAGTGCAAGCAACTGGAAAAAAGTGCAGGATGAAAAGAAATAATAAAAGGCATGCAATAAGACAAATAATCAAAATGAATGCAAAAAATACGACGAAGTTCAACATTCATTCGAATTAAATTTACTTTAAAATCACTCAATTTGTTATGAATTACTTTAATTTCTGATGTAATTAAGTACTTTTGGTATATGTATTGTTGTACTATTAATTAAGAAAAATTAATTAATTGCCATAATTATGATAATTGTGATAATTAATAAATTATGATAAATAATAAAATTACGATAATTTGATGAATAATAAATTATGATAATTGCACAATTTCTATAATGTGTCTAATTATTTGCAAAATTTTAGTAGTTTCATCGTAATCAATTTGCTTGTTTAAAAAATGAAATTAGCAAAATGAGATATGATATAATTAAGTGAAATAATATGTAATGATATTCTTAAAACAAAAAGGAACGAATTTGGAAAAAATAAGACGAAAAATTTAACGAATGGAATTAATTTGATAGATGTTAAGTTGCGCAAATTGCGCAAATGTCATAAACATCTCTACATCACATTCATTTAATAGCAATTAACTAATTACAAGAACGAATGTAATCATAAATTAA